AGCACACAGGGGCACAGAAAGATGAAGTGCCTTGCCTGGGTGACAGAGTATGGCAAAGGCAGGAACAAAGCCCATTTGCCATTAATCCCCACCCAGCACTTTAATCCCAAAACCCTCGTGTCTAACTCATGCCTTTTCATTGACCCCGCTATTCAGTGCCCATCCATGTTCAGTCCCATCCCTGGGTATGGGAGCGAGGGTAATATTCTGGGAGGATCTTACAGACCCAGAGGTTTCTGTTGTACAGCACTGAGTTCCTGTTGGCAAAAAGGGATGTTTTTTCCTTTGGAGGGGCTATAGCAGTGACTCTCAAATTAGGATGCTGCAGCACCCTGGGGTGCCTTGAAACCCTTTCAAGAGTACTGTAGGGTTCCATACTGTTAGATGTGCAAACATGATTTGCAAGATAAACCTAGAGGCTGCAAATAAGAAATTCACATGTGTCAAAACATTTTGCCTTGCTGCGGTCTTTCTGAGTTCTTTACACCAGAAGAATTGCTCTATTCTGCAGGCAAAAAGCAGAGCTGGTATTTTCAAGAGGTGCCTTGAGCCTAACAAGGGATTAATTAAGTCTAAAAAGTTTGGGAACCACAGGGCTATGGCTTTGTCTTTCACAGGATGGGCATGTGGAACAGCTGCTCTTGTTAGGTCAGTGCATGTAATTAGCCTTGTTAGTCTGAAGTCAAGTAAAAGGCAGGGTAGATTTGCACCTTATAGATTACCAAAAGTGTATATATGTGTATGTGTATAGACAGCTAGATAGATAGATAAATCGACTGATATAGATATACATACACAATAAATACCTCAATAACATGCATAACGCAAAAGCTCTCTCTCTCCCTATATATAGAGACCGAGAGAGCACAAGCTTTTGTGGGCTGATGAGAGCTTCAGCCCACAAGAGCTTTTGTTCTATATGTTTCTACTTTGGTTAATTTTCTGCATTAGGTATCATGAAAGGATTGGCCAGCCTCATATTAAGGCTACATCTACGAAGTTAAAATTGCTTAACTGATTAAAGGATGCTTTAGTAAATGGCTACCTAATTTAGTTGAGCCCCCAGAGATCAATAGTTAGGTGGGTTGGAAAGTTTTGCATCAAAATAATTTTGACAAAAAATATGTTTTCCCCGCCTAAATTACAAGTATTTTCACAAAAGCATTCCCTCCCCAACCCCATTTTCTGTTTATTTGATTTGATTTTTCCCCCCTTCTGCTTTCTCTTTTTTCCAGGGCTAAGTGGAACATTGGGGGGGAAAAAAGAAAGGGCAAAGGAAAAATGAGCAGGATCTCCAAAGTGGGAATGTTTTAACCAATGTTTTACGTGACAACATTTTGAATAAACAAAAATATTTCTTTTAGAATAATCTTCCAGAATAAAAATATATATTTTTAAAGTTTGGAATATTCCACCATGAAAATGTAGCATTTTTACCTATTCCAAATTATAACCATGGCTTACAATCCTTTGTTATAGTTTTTTTACACTCTTTTATAAACACATAGTGATCAAGTATGTAACAGCTAGAAATTGTTGAAAAGTTTGGAATGAAGTTGTATTTACTGCAATATGTTTTTAAGGGGAAAATGTGATTGGTTTTGTTGATAAAAAGTCTCCTTGTTTTCTTTATAGTTTATATTATCCCTTTAAATATAAGATTATATTCATATTTTATAAAGTGCAAGAGGAGAGGCTAAAAGGAAATTTAGAAGAACTCATTAATTAGTGAGTGGGACTATATAAGATGAAGAGTTGAGTTTTGGTGTCCCTTTCAGGATGTGAGGGAAGGGTCATTACTTTTTGTAAGACAGTGTAGATTTTCAGCTACTGACTGAGATGGAAAATTCCCCCGTCTGTTCCCAAACCTTGTGATCAAACAGTAGCGCCAAGATGCCCTCAAGCAGAATTTACCTTCCACCGACAGGTTGAACCGATTCAGGCATTTGCCATTCAGATCTACAAACATGAAGACTCCTGGGCTGAAGTGCTGCACTGTGAAATTCCCCTCTGATATGGTGATCTGCAGTTTAGAATAGTTCTGCATGGGCTGCAGGCCTCCCCCGACCATGGGTAGACTGTAGAGGCGATCCCATTTCTGAGTTGAATCATTACACCTGTATAAATCCATGCTGATGCCCGGGCTTTTAAATGGGATGGTTAAAGGCCGTCCTTTTTCTCCAGGTAAGTTGTCCAAGGAGCAATTGGCAGTACCTGCAAGACGAAGCAAACAGCCTGAAGTCTCAATCACTCTTGAGGAAGCAGAGAGCAAGATGCTGGGACTTCAGGATAGGCTGGGGTGTATATACAGGGCTCTGAAATGGCACACCTGGATTCTGCTTCTAGTGTAACAAAGCAGGGAGGATGAGCTGGGAGACCGGACTCCTGGTGCATTTCCTAGCTCTGAGAAAGGAGTGGTGTCTAGTGGTTAGAAACCAGGGAGCTGGAGTCAGGACTCCTGAGTCCCATCACCAGCACTGGGGTCTGGTATGGAGTGACAGTGGGGAGACCTGGGTCCTATTCTCAGCTCCAGGAGTGTAGTGAGGTCTAATAAATTAGAGCAGAGGGGATTTGGAGCCAGGTCCTATTTCCAGATGTAGGTAGGGAGCTGGGTTTAAGGGCTCAGAAGCATGCTTCTTTCTTACCTGATAGCCCAGGATGACATAGGCTGTAGACACCACCCAGGGAAATCAGCACACTGAGAAAAATGAGGTGCCCTCTGTGTGCATCCAGGAGCATGAGACCCATGGCAGTGATGGGGAGAGCCAGGTCTATGTTCAGTGGGACAGAGTGGACCTAGCATTCAAGAGCAAGAGCAGAAAAGGCTTTGATGAATGGAACCACAGAGTGTGACACAGAGAGGGAAATGAGTGTGGGATAGATGGGGTGGAAAGAGTTGGAGAAAATAAAATGATAAATTGAGAACATCAAGAGGGGAGTGACCCTTAGCAGGAGCTTGGAGTCACTTAGGTGAGAAATAGAGTCACTCTGGATTCACCTAAGGACACAGATCAGAATCCAGCCAGGACTCAATTTGATCCCCAGGATTCCCCATCACTGAAAAGGAGAAATTAGGGGAGTGCCCCCAAGCCATGTCATGCAGGCTGGAATTTGAGCATTTGTTACCTTCTAAAGACCCCCCATTATCTTCCTGCTCTCAGCCTTCAGGGCAGGCGAAGGGATTGCCTATCCTGCTGAGTGCAGTGCCATATACTGTGCACAGCAACACCCTGCCCAGAATTTAGGTGTGGTCCCAGTTTCAGGCTATCCCCTGGTGACCTCATCCCACCAAGATGGGACATGTATGGAGTCAAGCCAGGAAGGAGAGCAAAAGCTGGGGTTACTAATGCCTTACAAACCTAACCCTCTGCAATCAAAAGGTAGGGGGCATATGTATCCCAATCCCCAACCACCACCACCCCACAAAAAAGCCATCCTTCGGATTAGGCTGGAGAGAAATATGAGAAATATTTGAAATGTCAGAGATACTCCTCAAAGCCAGCCTTGAAGCTGATCTTCTCCGGCAATGTTTTATAACTGGTCCTGGGGAAGGGGCTTCTGCACTGCTAGGCAGGTGGATTTGGATTTTCCATGCCATTCCCAAAATGGGAGTGGAGAGTAAAGTTAGACCCTGGGACTAAAGGAACTGACCCACCCAGATTCAGCATGGAATTTTCCTATCCCCCTCCAGGAGGCAGCACCATACCTAGACTCCTGGCAGCCTCCCCGCCAACGTTTAGTATTGGGCTCCCCTTCACCAGAGGTAATGATAATAATAATTTTTAAAATTACCATTTTTGGGCCCCATTTCTGCCTGGGTCCCAGGCGGCCGCCCAGTTCGCCCATACCGTGTCCAGCCCTGCCAGGACGGTACCTATAGGTGGAGGGCTCTGCCCTGGCTCCCCTCCAAGGGGGACTCAGCCCTGGAGTCCATGAAGGAAGAGAACAGCACTGAAGACCCTCTCATGAAGCTGTCTCCTTACCTGCTCAGGGTTTCAGCAGCTTCTCAGCTCATTTCCAAGATCCCCCTTGCTCCTGATTTGGAGCTGATCCCAGCCCTCAGCCCCTGTGGAGTGATACTGATCCCGGGCTGTGTGACAGCTCTGAGCTTTATACCCTGCATCTGGTTTTCCCCACAGTCACGTTGGCCATGCAGCTGGAAACTGACAGCTCCATTAGCTGCTCTGTGCTGAGCTGTCATGTGCAAAACCACCGCAAGCTGAAAAAGTTTGTGGGGAGGAAGAGGAAGGCGATCAAAAGCAGCACAACCACAACATCAAGGGCTGCTTCCCCCTCTTGCCATCTGGCGACCCTTCCCTTGAGGCCCAGCACACAGCAAGTCTAGGCTCCTGCCTCCAACAGCACCCAGCCCCTGTCACTTCAGAGAACATGTCACGAACCTGCACTGATTGAAGACACTGCCCTCAAAGAACAAGTTTCCCTAACCCCAACCTGAAAGGGGGTGAGCTGTGTCCTGGAATGGGAGGGTTCTCACCTAACCTCAGCATTTCTCTTTCAACTCTCCCAATTCTTCTTCACTAGCATGTGCAATGTGACAGGTAAGAGGATGACAATGACCCCTGGATGTATAAGCAAAAGAACATCACAGAGGAGTGGGGGGATGGTGTGACAGACTGGGTTTTATTTCAATATGTCTATGTTAACTGTGTTCATGTTGCATGCCTCAGTTTGCATGCAAGTAATAATGCAACATGTAATACCATTGCATGCCTCAGTTTCCCCCAGCTAACTTGTACAGGGCGGAAAGAATGGGTGAAAGAGACAAGGAAGCTAGAGTTAACTAGATGGCTGCAAGACAGGACAAGATGGAGTTCCAGCATCGAATAGCTTTGTTGGCATGTCAGCAAAGGTGGGATAGCCCAGGAGGTTCCAGGAAAGTTAAATGAATTAAGCACGAAATGGACAGGGCAGGGCAAGCAAGGAAAAGTGTCTGCTTGTGAGACAGCGCATGAGGACAGAGATCAGCAGAGCAGCTATGGGTCTCCAGAGCTGAGCAGACTGGAAAGGGGATGTCATACCGTGGTGCTGGCCTGAGGCGCTGGAATGAGCCTGCAGCAGCCTTGCTGGTGAACTTCTGAGTCTGGAGCAGGTCAGCAGGTAGAGGATGAGTTTGGTTTCTTCCCACTAGGACCACCACCACCACCAGGTAGACAGACCTTCAGCCATCTCTGTGGGCCCTGCTCTGTTACAGATAGTTGGCCTGACGCAAGTGTTGGCCAGGGAACTCTCTTGGTTGTACAGTAAAGGAGATCAGCCACAATGGTTTCTCCTGGCTTAAGTGTGAACCTGTTGAAACCTCATGGCTATAACTCAGCAGGTCCCCTTGTGTCCCCTCTTCTGTGAATGTCTTCTATTTGCAATGAAACCCTTGGTCTCAGAGGGTACATCTACACCACGTGCCCAGCACTTGCTGGGAGGGATGCTTCCAAATGCACTCTATGTTCCCTCTCCCACTCCCACCCTGACTTGCTCATGCCAAACCTAGAAACATGGCCTTGAGGCTGCTCCCAGGCATCCTCCAGCAGCTCCTTTTGGGACCTAGGAGTTGCCGCACTCCAGTCTGGTTTTGGTGTGTGCGAGTGGAAACTGGTGGGCCCAGCAGTGCCAGGAGGGAGACCAAGTGGAGACACATTCTGTAGTACCTGGAGGCAATGAGTCCCCCTGGCTCACAGTGCCTCACTTAAGGGAAACAATAAGTGGTTTCTGAGATCCTTCTGAGTTTATTACTTCTCAGTTTAATCTGTTGTTCCCCAGTCCTTGTATGACATGTCAGCACAGTCTGTCTTCTCCAGCCGCATTTGTCCTGCTGCTCTTCCCTTCTTAAGTCACCTCCTCTCTCAGGTATATCATGCTCACTCCTTTAGTTTCTCTCAAGGCTGGTTGACACAACAGAGGCATTGGGAATTGCACCCAATGCCTCTGGGCATTGGGTGCATTCCAGAGGACCAGGAATTGCACCACTGAGGCCTTTCTGGGCTCTTGCCTACATTGCCAAAGACTTGGATCTCAAGAACTGGCTCAGAGGAACAAGTCCAGAGTGGCCTCATGGGCAAACTGCCAGGTTGGATGCATGTCTCCGGTGGGTAGGACATAGGCAAGACGTAGTCAGGCCGCTCAATGCCAGGACCAAGCACAATGGTTTGTATTGTGAGAGAAGTGTGCCACAGTGAAGGAGTGGTCAGCAGTCAAGGTGTTTATCTGGGACCCAGAATATCTGTGTTCAGTTCTTTGCTGTGTGTGACGTACAGCCTGTTGCCTCAACCCCTCTGTACTTCTGCTCCCATTCTGGGCAATGGGCATAATGGCCCTGCCTCTACCTAGGACTCTTTAGGGGACAAATCC